GGTTGTCCCTGGCTAATTTCATCACTAACCTTAACTGTCAGGCAATATATGTAATAGCTAATTAATCATAACATGTCAATGCTATCTAATGCTTCAGAGTACCACATAACGTGACTATGAATACACAAATAATTGTTTCTGATACAGCATGCAACAGTGCAAACACCAAGTGAAGCAATTATGTTTCTTATGTATTTATTTTGTATTAGTAATTACAACTAGACCATTAACCCTGTATATTGCGAGGAGGAAAAAATCCATTGTAGCATCCATTGGCCTTTAACATACAGTAAGTATTACATACTAACTAAGCGCTTAGTGTGCATTTGAATGGGAAAATGTGGGTGTAATACTGGAACTGGAAAATTTAAATTTAGATAAATATCAAAAATGTCTCAAGCATTGGAATTTAAATTATTGAATAATCTTATACTATGGTTTTGGAAGCTGCTTGAAAACATTGTTAACTTATTATTAATAATAACAATAATATTAATAACAAACTTCTATAAAAATAATAGAAAATGTAGTACCCGAAAACCATAACAATTAGAAATAAACAAGGATTAGCACTCATCCCCATATGAAGTATGTAGGGGATACAAATAATCCAAAGGGGCAACAGGAGGCCAGCAGATGCTTTCTTTATCCCAATCACCCAACCAATGAAGGATGATCTTTACAGAGGGCATGAAAAATCAGGGGTGCCCAGAAACCCTAAATCCCATCTATCCCCACCCCCATACTTCAAACAAAGAAAATATGTGTTAATATGAAATTATTGTCTGCAGTACACCATATTAACCATGCAGAATAGCATATACTCCATCTAAAAATGCTGTTATCGCAGGATGTTCTAAAATCCATTTTGTAGGTGCCCAGAAGTCTCTATTAAGCCACAAGACCTGCATATTAACCCCTATTTTTCTACATTCCATATGTAATGGGGTGTAGGTGATTGTAATAGAATGCAGAGGATTTGTGGTGGCTCGCGCACTTAAAGAATGGGTTTGAAAACCCTAAGTACTTAAATTCTCACCGTTAGCTTATTAGCTAAAATTAGGCATTTTTCAAAGTGAAATAAAAAAATTTGGGGAAAAGAAAAAAACTGAAAAAAGTCAGCTATGTTTTTATTTTTACTACTGCATAAAATTTGAATCCCCAACCATACACATTTGGTGGAGTTATTCCTTAATCTCTGAATTGTAACATATCAAAATTTGAATTGAAAATGTTAGGCAAAAATAGCTGGAATGACAATAAATCTCCAACTTGGCTTTAGTCACAGTTTGGCTACTTTGCTCTCTCATTTTTAATTCAGATTTTAATTTGGACTTTGGGGAATAGATGCCTTAGAGAATAACCCTGCATAGTAAAGGTAAGATAATTTCAGAGAGGGTTACATAGTTACATAGTTACGTAGTTATATATCTGAAAAGAGACTTGCGTCCATCAAGTTCAGCCTACCTCACATTTGTTTTTTGCTGTTGATCCAAAAGTGAAAACCAAACCACCCACAAAAAAGTCCCTTAAATGTAGTACTAAGTAGTACTTACCCCTAATTCTAGGGGTGTCAGGTATCCCAAATGGAGGTTTAAATATGCAAAAAAATATATTTCCAATAGTGGAGTATGTCATTTCTGATACATATATGATAAAACAATATAATAAAACTCACAAGTGAAGAGCCAAGTAGGGGGCTGGCTCAAATCACAATCGCCTTTGTGTACATTGGGAGACTCGTAGGGGACTTTTGCATTACTTTTATATTATGATAAGATTTTCCTTTTTTAATTTTTTTTTAAAGTTGCATTAGGTTTTGAAGCATTATTTTGTTTTTATGGACCCGTATTTCACTGCAGATAACATTTGGATTCAGCGATATGGTTGATGAGTCTGTACTTGGTAAGTATGAAAACCATCTTTGCTACATGTTAATTTCCAGATTTGGAAGATATCTATGCCCATGTAAACTTAGAAGCTTTTATTGTCGATGAAACTGACATTTGATTGGGTGAGTTATCAATGTCAGGTGGACTTTGCATCCTCCTGGAAATGAGCCTGGGTCGATAATTGATTCTATTAGTGTCGGGAGCAGGATTTCATTACACTTCACTCAGGACGGGGGAGGGACTCGATGTGGGCAGAGAACTGCTGGCCTGTAGCCTATTCTTTTAAGAAAATGAAGCCCCACTGATGTCACTGCATTAACCACTTTCCCCGGTTCACATGGATTAAGGGGATAGAAAGAAACCATTGTGCAAGGTCTAACTGGTTACTCCCTCCATGATATAAATGCATGTGTTATGGTAATGGAGGGGATATGGCATGCTGTTAAATATGGGGACCCAAGATTATACACTGTTGGATTCACGTCTATGGGAAGAGATTCCCACTTGTAAGCAGACATCCTGCATCAGTATAATATAATTTTTATAGAAATTCCAAATTACTTTTCAATCAAAGTTAGATTGCAAAACACATTTCAGGCTTTTAGATTTCTGCTGGAAAAAACTGACATGTGCCAATTTATTTAAAGGGTTTACAGATAATTGTAGAGACATCTTTTGGGGGCATTCTATGCAGGAATACTGTACATTAACATGGTTCTGCATGTAAAGAGGGAATTGTGAACTAATTGTCTGGAAATCCCTTAGTTGAATTCATTGATTATCCTAAATACATGGTTTCGTGGATGGGGCGTGGGGTAAAGGCATCTTTGCAGCTTCCCATCAGTAACTATATTATCCAATTTCATACCGTCTATACTGTTGATGATTGGTGAGCATTCATCAAGTATCCCTAGTTCATTAGGATTCACAGGATGCATGTACAGTGGTTTATGAGTATTTTTTTTTTTTTTAATTTTCAGTTATAATCAAGGTCCTTTACAACAACGTTATTGAAGGATATCAGAATCATCATCCAAATATATTGGCGAATGATGTTGCAACAGGAGGCGATGTTGTAATCTTATTTGCCTTTAGGGGGCAGCAAACTTGCCCCAAGTGAGCTAATCATCGTACTTTGTAGGGATCATTTTCAAAATCAGTGCAACACAAAAAAAACCAAAATCACAAGTATCAGCAATTCCTCTGTCTGCTATGGATTGTAGGACACAGTGGTTCAGCAAATATTTCCTATTGTAGAATCATTAGGAAGGACAAGAGAAGGTGTTGAGAAAGAGAAAACAGGTTTGCATAACCTCCACTTACATATATGAATCCCTTAAGGGCCAATTCCATTTTTGATTTCCCCCTAACATTCTAGACCCCATTATAACATGGAATGTTCCCCTTACTGAGCATCAGCAGCTGTTTGAAGCCTTATTGAATTCTTCTGTTTTAACCCCTTCCTGACTGGTGTGATGATCAGAGCCAACTGAAGAAGCTCACACAGTGAAACACATTTTGGCACTTAAGGACTGCATTACAGACTGATAAGTTCTCCTTTATTTGTTTTTATACATAAACTTTATTTTTGTTTTTAATGTTGAATAAATAGTGGAATTTTACCAGTATCTGTCAGAAAGTCCTGTTCCAGGTTCCAGTTAGGGGAGTGTCACCCCACAATTTGACACTAGGCATTAATACCTGAGAGCCAAGACACATATGGGTGAGAGTCCCCATTTTAAAGTGATTTTAGGTCTATAATACATCTAGACATACTGCACCTTAATCTTTTATATTGTTTATTTTGAGTTCCTCATTAACTCCAGAAGGTGGGGTGCTGCCTAAAAAGGTAATCTGCATTGTTATATAGCCTTATTCTCAGGCTCTGGAGATTGTGAGTCCGTCTACTTATATTCATTTTACACTTAGCTAATTTTAAGTACCATCTTCACTAGATTTGTTCTGTTCTTTTTTCATTTTTTTCACATTACCCCACATTAAGAATATATAAAACTTCTTAGTAAGGGGTAAGTAATATTTGATTATTCTAATGCTCCACCCACTGATTAAAAAGTTCTGCTTGATAATCACTTTCTGCTATACAATTTGAATATAAAGAGGTGTACACACAAATACAATGAATGGGATAGGCTCAAGACTTATGTGAGGGATCCCCTTAACCCTACAATGAAATCAGAATCACACACAAATACAGTATAAGTGCAGCTCTAATATACCTGAGTAATGATTTTATAGATAGGTGCACTTGGTGCAATCCTTTACAAAAACCTGTAAATAATATATGACACAATCATAGTGCAGATATTATATACAATAATGTATGAGTGTAGATTAAAAAATTTCCAACTCACAAGGAGAGAGCCAATAAGTCACCTGGCTCTAGTGTGTAGCGCTCTTGGATCCTTAAGGAAGATCCACAGCCCTCTTCTGTATCTTTCAAACCCAAATTGGTCAGTAGCTACTTTAGCGGAAGTGACGCAGTGTGCACTGGATCCGGTCTCCAGTGCTGAAGTTCTTCTGTCTATCCCTGCTGACCAATTTGGATTTGAAAGATACAGAAGAGGGCTGTGGATCTCCCTTAAGGCATAGACACAGCAATCCAATCTGGCAAACTGAATTGGACAAGACCTATATTGACCTTGTAACTTTCCAAAACACCATAAAACCTGTACATGGGGGGTATTGTTATTCTTGGGAGACTGAGAGTGTCTTGTTCAAACATATATGGTGTTTGTCTCTTGACTGCTGCCATAAGTGCGTCTTTGTCGGCTCGTGATAAGAAGCACAGTATGACATCCCTAGGGGGGGATGTTTTAGTAGAAGGTCATCCTGGTAAGTGGTATAGTCCCTCCAGAGTTAGGCCTTTAGCCTGCTTGTGTAGCAGTGTGACAGAGAGCAAATGCCTCATGAGTTGTAGCAGTTTACCAGCATCCACAGTGCCTGGGATCCCCCTCACCTTTAGAGTACGCTGTCTTGTGGCGTCCTCCAGCTCCCCCACTTTGGCACTCAGCAGTGTGCACTGTTCGGAGAGGTCCTGGATTTGGGTTGCAGCTGAGTCTTGCCTTTGTCCTAGGCTTTTTATCTCACCTTCTGTGGCTTGAATGCAGCCAGACAGTGAGCTGAGGTCTTTCTTCAGTGTGTCTATCTCTGAAGCAAAGAAGGCTTTTAAGTGACAGAGCTTGGTTGCCCCCCAGCTGAAGTAGGAGCTCGTCTTCCTCTTCAGAAGCTGAGGAAAAGCCATGATGTAGGTCTGGGAGGTCTGGCATCCGCCATCTTGGGCCTTGGAGTCCATGAGAGGAGCAGGCCGATATCGCGGTTTTGACCCTCGAGACTTTCTGAAGTGTTTCCCCATGGCTTTCTGCATTGAATGGTGCTGTTAGAAGCCAAATGTTGCTGCTGTTCATGCCTTTGAATCGCTTCAATGTGGTCTGGTTGCCAGAGCTTGGGACTCATGCGTCTGATCAGAGCGCTGGCTAGCCAAAAAAGTGTGTGTTTTTAAAAACAAATTATAGTAAATCATGTGATATGATGAAAATAATGGTATCTTTGGAAAGACCATTTAATGGCGAGAAAAACAGTATATAATATATGTGGGTACAGTAAATGAGTAAGAGGAAAATTACAGCTAAACACAACCACCGCAGATGTGTAAAAACAGCCCTGTTCCTTAATGGTAAATCAGGTCACTAAGGGGTTAAGGTCCTCGAGCATCAGATTATTTTGACAAAGACAGTCATTGGCTGTAAGGGGCTAAAATAACTATATCAATTACTTAAACGGCACATTACATTCACTGTATAGTATTATGTGATTATATGTGCACTAGTCATAGATTAAAAACAATTACATATGCAGGAATGCATTCCCTAAAGCAGGGATTGCCAAGGGAATCGCAAATTAAGACCTAAAATTTGCAATTTTCTTTCACGATTCCTGCTCTAGCAAACAAACCCCAGTGTGTCAGTCTGAGTAGTCGGAAGGAGCCGAACATTAGCTGCAATCAGTAGACACCATGACTTATAGTGACCCTAGATGTTAAGGGTTTTGTAACATCACCCAGGAGAGTTCTGCCATTCTGAATGTTGCACAGTATGTCCCCACATCCAGGCCTTTTAAAGTGCTACCTTAATGTAATCACTTCTGGGCTGCATTAGTTCCTTTCTAATGGTGCTGTATTTTACCACTTATTTGTTTATCTGTTGTGTATTCCCCTGTTGTATGATCGCTATACATTTTTAAACAAATGTTATATCATGAGCGAACGTTGAAAGTGACAGAGAATGTATTACAGCCTTTTACTTCACAGCAGCTTCTGTATGTGTTGTCATAAGGGATTGTACATTTTACAGCCTCTATCTCACTTTTTAGTCAACTTTGCAAAAGGGATTTTGTAAACAACGTGGTAGATTATAAACACTGTGTTCCGTTGCATTCTAAATTTACAGCTTGGACAGACCTTGGAAATAGATTTCCCCCATTGCATTTTATATATAACCATGTATGTTCAGCTCACGGAATAATCAGGAAGGCTGCTTTGTTATTCTCGTTGGTGCATTTGGTTTCAAGCCAATAACTCTGAATATTATTCCACAGTTGCTACAGTTACAGTAAAAGTATTTAACGTTGCAGTCCTAGAATGGACACTTTGCTGAACACACAGTTTTATTTATTAAGAAAGCCAAATGGGGCTGATCTGTTTCCTAATTCATTATGTGTGACCTGTTGCAGTGTATCTGTTTGGTTTAAATGATTTCCCTATCAGAGAGTGCACACAATAGCTATAAAGATGTATTGCTAGTACAGATTGTGAGCAGCAATAGTCTACTACCTATCAAGTCTACTATCTAAAGACTTTAAGTATGTTTTTCCTAGAAATATGCAGTATGCATGGATTAAAGGGACACTCTAAGCTGCCTAAGAGCTGCTTCCTGACCCCCCTACTAATGTTAGAGAGCCAATAGCTCCTAAGCAGGACCTTCCATTAGCTCTCCTTAGCTAAGTGCAGGGCTTTCCTCATAGGCTGACATGGAGGCGGTGAGTGTGCCTGGCAGAACCCAAGTAAGAATTCAAACTTTACTAAAACGGTTTAGCTACTTATTTTGAATGGGGTGCCAGGGCACTCCGAAGGGCACTACTGGTGCACTAGTTTTGCACCAGAACCACTATCGTGAGTAGCTGTTATGGAGCTTGGAGAATTCCTTTAAATGCTTCTTGTAACTTTTTTATTTTTATAATGGATAGGCTTGAATCTAAGCTAAAGAAAGGATCATTCTAATGTTTACAATAAATACATTTAATTTTAATGTTAACGTTTTCTTTAATAGCTGAACAAGCATGCAGAAAGTAGACATCATTATTTGACTTTGCAAACCCAAAAATTTCACACGGTCAACCTTTACTGTGAGCATTATGCAAAACTCTTATATATAACTATATCTTATATATAACTTATTTTTTATTAGTTAATTAAGTTATAAACAGCTGTGGTGATAACTTTAGCCATTGCAACACTAAGATCAAAAGATCAGCGTGCATCATTGCATAGTTAAGAATGTCAAGTAATGTTCCCCAGACAAGGTATAAATATATGAAGATATCATCTTAATGAAGTTGTTATGGTGCCAGGAAGTCCTGTGCACCATCTTACTTTAAGGTGTTAAATCGTTTAGAAACGTTTCTGGCAGTGTCCAAATCATCAATGAGGGAGCTTTGGACTGGGCACTGCTGATAGGCTGAGATAGCCTATCACTTGCTCCCTATTCACAAAACTGTGTGAAATAGGAATGTGTTCACTTAAGCCGAGATTGTGAAGAATTACAAGATAAGTCAAAGTAATACAAAATGAAGACCTAAAATTTTCAATTCTTTTTCACGTACTTTTCTCACACATTTTATGATAGATCTAGAGATAAACAAAGTCGGTGGCCACCTTATTGAAGCCTCAAATCTCACAGGAAACCAGTGGGTCAAAGGATACAGGCACGGTCTTCAGAACTTTGGGGTCAAATCATTCATAAACACCTTATATATTTAGGACTTAAACTTTAACCTCTTAAAGTAATATGGCACTCTGGACCTCATGGCACCATAACAACTTCATGGAGATTGTGCCCGAAATTTTACTTTGTACTATGACATATTAATTTGATAACTATGAAATTATTACAATCAGTATGTGCATACTTTAAAACTGACACTTGAACTGATATATAATGTTTAGCACAATATAGCATAGTTTTAATAACAAAATTGCAAACTCCACTCAAACAATTTTTGTTTTTATGCTAATTTTGAACATCTGATCTGCCATCAGTTCTGTTTAGTTACATAAACACTAAATCTATCATTTGCAGACACCAGAGTTACGGGGATATTTTGGGAGAGATATACATAAAAGCAGGTGCTGCTCCAAGCAATGAAGGGGCATTCACTATGGAAACCAGCCTAATATCTCTAAAATGTTTCCACTTTGTTTATTCTTCGTATTTACATGAATTCATTATAAAGCAAATAGCTCTGAAGTGTAGCTCGTCATTTTAATTATGTCTACCTTACATCCCCTTACAGGGTTGTATCACTCTCCGACCAAACTCACTTATTAAAGTAACGTACAGCAATCTGCCCTAGTTACTGAGACGTGTGTCCTGAACAATGTGCAGATATGTTAAAGACAATGGAATGCAATGAATAGAAAAGCAATTCATTGCTGAATATACCCACAGCATGACTTTTCACAGCTACAGTACACTCTATTTAAATTGTCCTTCTGCCTGCTGCTTCATAGGAGCCTCCAGTCTGTCTGATGCAATGTGTTTGTTTGTGCAATTAGTGTTGCTGTTAACATCTTCGCAGTTATTGTACTGGTAAAGTTAGGGGTGTAAATGATGCTGTACACACATTGACTCATTGATTCTCTCTTGCTGTAAGGGCTAAAATACTATAGTAAAACAGGGATGTTTGTTTTTGTGATAATATATTGTAATTTACAAAAATAACCAATCATAGTAGGATTTGTGAAGCAAAACAAGATCCAAGCACAATAGGATATGGGTGGATTGGCGCTAGCAAAGTGCAAATGCAACAACCCCCAGTGTCTTTAACTGCTCACAAGACACTAAATTAGCATAAACAATATAAATATAAAGGGGGGGATGCAAATATAAAAACCAGTACACAAAGAGTTATACCCAATTTTCACAGATTATACATCTCTTGATCAGTGTGCAAAAAAAAACAATGTAAAAGTGGGCATTGCATAATATTGTTTTTACATATTCAAATCAGTACTAAAGGTAGTGGATCACTCACATTTTCCAGAGCCACGTTTAGCAGGCTCTGGTCATGTTGGCTTTATAGATAATATAGCTGCTTAGCCAATAAGCCCAACTTCTGGCCCACGTCTTCCCCTTTTTATCAATAAGGAGCCTTCCAGTGGTAAGTAGTTAAAAGCAATTTACTTAAAATTCAAAGATGTGGGCGGAGCTTGGCAGCCGATCCGAACGGACGCAGGGTAGATGGACTCCGTGCTTATCCAGACTAACTAACAATTTTCAGCCACCAAACTGCTGATAACAACGCCCAACAATGGGAAGGAAAACCAAGAGACAAAAACCGGACTGACCCAAACAGGGGGCCAACATAAGAGACCTCTTCAACCAGGCACAAGGTGCATACGGCCCCAAGATGGCCACCGACCTCGAGGAATTCTCTGACTCCTCAGGGGATTTCTACCCTGAGGAAGTCATTACCACCCTACCTCTGGGGAGGCCTCATCAGCAGGCACCAAGTCCAGAGGCTGCAGAACCAGTGACGGCGATGCTGCTGAATACTCTCCTGGGAGACTTACAGAAAACCCTCCAGGCAGATGTCGCTCAGCTATGCGAGGACCTCACGGGCCTAGTGGGCTGTGTTCAAGCGGTCGAAGTCACCTCCAAGCGGCAAGCACAGGAAATATCAGAGCTCAGGCAGGAATTGCAAGCTTTAAAACAAAAGCAGGCCAAAACTGACCAACGCTTCACTACAATAGAAGACAACAGGCGCCGCAATAATCTCAAGATACACGGGATCCCGGAGGACATACCAGATGAGGAAATCCCACACTTTCTACGGAGGCTCACGGGAGCCCTACTGACGCCTAAGCAAGCCAGGAACATCAGCTTTGACGCAGCCTTCCGGATCCCATGAGAGACCTGGTGGTGAAATACAGAAGCACGACCGACAAAATGGCGATACTCGCAGCCCTGAAGGGAGCAGCCACCTACAACTTTGAATCGATGACCCTGTCCTTCTTTG